CGGGTTGCGGTGGTTAGTAAAGCCTGCAAGTGAACTTATAATCGGGCTATCTTGACTTATAAGTGTACCATGTTGGGTAAGTGTGTTTCTGAACTTAGTAAGTGGCGGAGGGTGATTATAAGTATTTGTTTGAGTTGGTAATTATTTGACCTATTTATAAGTGACTTAGGACAAGTCCTGTAGTTGGAAGACAAGTACTTGGGCAAAGTTAGACAGGTTATCTAAGTCATTTATAAGTACTTATATAAGTACCCTAACTTCATCGGGGCAAAGCATTTCCAGGCCGGTGCTGCTGGTGGTTGCCGATGTCGACAGCATCGAAAGGTGCTTCCACCCCCGCTTTGCTTGCAAGTAAAGAGTCTCATGTTCCGAGCATGCAGTAGAGTTGAAGAAGATTTTTTGCTGGCCTGCATGCAGTGATGCGAGGCATGCAGTGAAGTTTGCAATCATGTTTGTGTGCAGAATGCAGTGATTCGAGGCATGCAGTGAGTGATGTTTGCGGCTTCCTTGGAATCATGTTTTCTGCAGATGAATGAGTCGATCGTCGTCGGCAGGGCATTTTGCTCGTCGGCAGGCATGTGAAAGCATTTTCATGTACATGTACATGCCCGGAAGCTGTTGCTTTCAAGTGAAAGATCTNNAAAGACTTCCCCACACACGTCCTGTCACGAGCATGGCGATCCAGGGCGAAGTTGTTCAACAGTGCACTGTTCTCCTTGCCGGAGCCCAAGACGGCGACCGGTTGGTGAAAACGGTCCACGAAGTCCTGAACATCCTGGAGCGGCACGGGCACGTCTACTCCCTGCAGCTGAAGCCGTCCATGGTTGGCATATCCCCCCTGAACCGGGACGGGTCGGGTGTGAACCCGGTGGACGTGCATGAACTCCTGTCAGACATCGCCACGGCGGGGTGGCTGGATACCCGGGTGACAGCCATCGCTGTCGAGCCGTGCGGGGAGGAGGACCTGAATTGGAACTCCGAATACTTCAAACGGACAGGTGGACTGATCGGCACGGTAGACACATCACAGCTGAAGGCCTTGAGCCTCGCAGGGTCTCACACAAACTGTGTGCTCCGCTGCTTCCTTCAAGAAGTGGCTCACACAGGCGATGAAGCTCTGTGCCACAACGGCCGGCTCTCTCTGGAACTTCTCAGCAAAAGAGACCAGAGCTTCCACAGGGCAGTGATTGACGGAGTCCCCTGGAAGGTCCTTTCGAAGCATGTAGCTTCTCAGATCCCTCA